GAGTCTTAATTACCCAAAATTGAAATGTCACATTAGATAAAAATCAATACTTTCTTTTTTCTTTTCTTTTTTTTTTTTTTTTTTAGGTAAGCTCTTGGCCCAACATGCATCTTGAACTCACGAGTCCGAGATCAAGAGTCATATGCTCTACCGACTGAACCAGCCAGGCGCACCTACCTATTTTTCTTTTTAACGTTTTATTTATTTTTGAGACAGAGACAGAGTGTGAGTGGGGGTGGGGGGGCTAGGGTGGGGGGTGGGCAGAGAGAGAGCAAGACACTGAATCTGAAGCAGGCTCCAGGCTCCAAGCTGTCAGCACAGAACCTGACATGGGGCTCGAACTCACAAACCACAAGATCATGACCTGAGCCAAAGTTGGCGCTTAACCGACTGAGCCACCCAGGCACCCCCATCCCCATTTCCTATTTTTAACACTGATTTTCAAGGAATAAAATTTCTATTAGGAAAATACAACATAATAGATTTGGTAAAGATCATTTGGAGGTAGTTTATAGAAGAATTACCAATTTAAGACTCATTATTAATTTGTTACATTTCAGGCCTTTGGTCAATGGCTCTTATGTATGTAATGTAAGCTACACGTTACCTTAAGAAAGAAAATAAAACTATGTGAACCTGTATAACTGACAAAGCCCCCAGGATTGCTAGCTATTGTTGGTAACACAACACTTGACCACAGGGCAGCACACGTGTGCACCCAGCGGGTCTCTACTGGCTGTCGGCTTATTCCCTCGGCAAACACCGTGGAGGTCTCCCGTGGTTCTGTTTTCTGCAGTGAAATATGGGAATCCACACTTATTTTATTTATTTATTTTTTTTTTAATTTTTTTTTTCAACGTTTATTTATTTTTGGGACAGAGAGAGACACAGCATGAACGGGGGAGGGGCAGAGAGAGAGGGAGACACAGAATCGGAAACAGGCTCCAGGCTCTGAGCCATCAGCCCAGAGCCTGACGCGGAGCTCGAACTCCCGGACCGCGAGATCGTGACCTGGCTGAAGTCGGACGCTTAACCGACTGCGCCACCCAGGCGCCCCAATCCACACTTATTTTAAAACATAACCAGAAAAAAGTGCCATTGCTGTCTTTAACGTGAATTCCCTAGACTGCCTTTGTGGACGCCAGGGATTCCAAATCACCACCTGGAAAGTGTAACTTTCCTGACTCCACAACTTTAATGAACTTGGCAATTAGAATTCAATACATTCACATCTACTCCAACCTAAAACCAAAACTTGCCTGTTTAAAATGTCCCTCCTCATCCGTTTCCCTGTCCCCCGCCGTTTGCCCTGTGTCTCTTGCTTCCTCAATGCTTCCCACTCTCCTCTGCCGACAGACCTCGTGAGAAAGCGGCTCAAATTTGCTGTACCAGTTTTCCAGCTCACGCTACCTTTTCAGCCCAACAGGGTTGCCATACACTGCTACCAACAATACTTATGTTCGTGTGACCAGTGCCATGTCCATGTCACCGAGTCCACTGGATAGTTTGAGTCACTCAATCCCTCAGCACATCTGGTCGAGCCCTCCTCTTTCCCGAGGCACTTGCATCCCTCGGAACACATGACAGCATGCTCTTCCGGCTTTCCACTTATTTCCCAGGTTACTTGTCTTCAAGTCTTTTACCAACCTCTACCTTATCTCTGAAAATGCCCATGTTCTTTAGGGTCCAGCAAGCCCTTTTTCCTTCTTACTGTATTCTCCCGCTAGGCGATCCACTACATCATTTACTCCCAAGGTTTCAAATATCCTCGATGCGCCGGTGGAGACTTCTATCGCCAGCCCAGACCTGTCTCCTAAGCTGAGTCTCTATGGCCACCTGTTTATCTGACCTTTCCATTTGGATGAGGCATCGGCATGCTGAGTTCCACAGAGTCAAACTTAACACTTGGTCTCCTCCCAAAACCAAGCCATCTCCACCGCAAACCTGCTTCTTTTGCGCATGTCCTCTAAGTGGCACCACTATGTACCCATTGCTCAACTCAGAAATATGGGTATTATCCTTGATGTCCCCCATGACCACCCAACAGAGCCGACCAATTATGAAGTCCTGTTGATTTCACCTCCTACACGTTTCTCCAATCTCTTTACTTCTCTCCATCATTATCACCATCACATCAAGTCCAAGCCATTATCACTAACCTCTCCTGGAGCTCCCTAACTGGAGCTCATGTAAATACTGTGGCTCTGCTCTAACGTATGATCTACTCAGGACCTAGAAAGCTGATTTTTTCATGTTTATTTATTCTGGGGGCAGGGGAGGGACAGAGAGAGAGAGGGAGACAGAGGATCTGAAGCAGGCTCTGCACTGTCAGTAGAGGGGCTAGAACTCACGACCTGTGAGATCTTCACCTGAGACGAAACCAAGAGTTGGACCCTTAACCGACTGAACCACCCAGGTGCCCCTGGAATGCTATTTTTTTAATGGAGATTTGATCACATCATTCTTTTAAAACCAACAACACTTTTAATTATTTCTGCTCTTTACTAAAAGGATAAAGCTAAAGGTTTGTAATAAAAACTTAACGGCCCTGCCATTAGGTCTGGCCCTCACCTGCCTCTCCAACCTCACCTGTGTTGTTCTCTCCCTTTGTTAAACACACACATTTCTTTCCTTCCTCAGGAGTCCTACCTCAGGATGTTCAATTTTACAGTTTTCTTTTCCCTCGAACAGGAGCTGGTAAACTTTTTTTAGGAAAAGACCAAAGAGCAAATATTTTAGGCTTCGTGGGCCAGTAGGTCACAGTCTGACTCAAGCACTCAGCTCTTATAGCACAGTCTGACTCAGCACAGATAGCACGTGGATAAGCCACACACAATGGGCTGTGGGCTGGGGCACAGTTTGCCAACTCCTGTTCTAGAAAGCTAGACACCCCTATCCCGACACTTACAGATTCATTTCAAGTACCATTTTCCTCACTGAAACTCTTCCTGATCAGGCTAAGCCCTCTTATTTGATGTGCTTTTACCTACCAAGTACATTCCTCTTTCATAGAACGAATTGCTATCACGACTAATTAGATATTTGTGAAAGTCTTTTGTCTATATCCATCTTCCCTGTAAGTCTGTAAATTCCATGACATTGGGGACTATATTTACTTTACTGTTTTATTCCCAGCATGTGGTGGAGAACACGACAGTCAGTAGCAATCAATAAATATTTGTTGAATGAATGAATGATTAATTTGCTATCTGACCTTTAGCTGGCAACTGTTTCTTTTTGAGCCTTAGTTCTCCATCTGGAAATGGATGATAGTAACAGCTTAGAACAGATAGAAACAGGTTTGTTTCAAGGTGAGATAACATGGGTGAGTGCATTTTGTGAAATCTAATACAAATTTAGGGGAAAAAAACCAAGAAAGATGCCTTGATTGCCTAGTATGGGGTACACTGTAGCTCAAGAGGCAGGACAAATCCTCTGGTGGGATTTGCTGGCCCTCCAGCCAAGAAAGCTTTTGCTCTCTTAAGAGGCTGGAAAAAACCAAAACAGAGGGGTGCGGGAGTGGCTCAGTTGGTTAAGAGTCTGACTTCGGCTCAGGTCATCATCTTGCAGTTCCTGAGTTTGAGCCCCGTGTTGGGCTCTGTGCTGACAGCTCAGAGCCTGGAGCCTGGTTCAGATTCTGTGTCTCCCTCTCTATCTGCCCCTCCTCTGCTCACACTCCGTGTCTGTTTCTCAAAAATGAATAAACGTTAAAAAAATTTATTTTTTAAAAAAACAAAAACAGAAATGAAACAAAGAACTGTGTGACAGAAAGCACGCGTGGCCTACAAAGCCTAAAATATTTTAGTCTGGCCTAGAACAGTGTCTGAGATTAAGTAAATGTTTTAATCAGTAAATAAATGAACAGTTAATGTTTTCCAAAAACACTCATATTTTAACATTTTGGTGACTAAAAGGCGGTGCCATTTTCTGAGTCCCTTTCTTTTCTTCAGTGGAGCAAGTGACCAAAATTGTAAACTACCCCCTCCCCAAAGGCTCTATGTTGACTTTAAATTTAACAGACAAAATAAAAAGAGTCTACAAGCATTTGCATTTTCCTCTCAATTATATCAACAGTTGCTTTTGAAGCAGAGAAGGTGTGGGGTGTCAGGGAGGTGGGATAGGAACGGGGACCTGGGGGCCCAGAAAACAACTGGAAAAGCTGGCTGTGGTGTTACACGTGGGATTGCCATGTGGAGTCTAAATCGGCAGCAACCAATTCATCGTGTGGTGGACATTATTGAGTTTTTTTCCCATGGGGAATCCATCATTATATAGAAATTATAAACCAAACATTTACAGGAAATGATAAGGAGCTGGGTTTATTACAAAATAATAGTGCACAAATGGAAAGGGATTTGGACTCAAAAGATCAGGCTTCAAGTCTGAACTCTACTTGGGAGTTCAATATCATTGGTGCCATTCAGTGGGTGGCCATTGGGAGCTTTACATACATTTGATCTTTATATCAAGCTGCAAACTGGCCATTACTAGCCCCAAAATACAGATGAAGAAACCGATGCTCAGAGAGGTCAAGGAACTTGCTCAAAGTGATACCACCAGGAAGAACCAAGAGGTGTGGAGTCAAAGCCTGACTCGAGCAACACTACCAGTGAAACCTCTGATTAAGATATTTAACCTTCTTGGGCCTTGTACATGTCTTATCTCACAAAACACACGTGAAGCCTAATTTCTATGAAATTCCTCCATATTAAGTTACCGACTTAGACCTTAAAGATAGATGTTTTCCTACAAAGTTCTCTCTTAAACCTAACTCTATGTCTCTAGAACAGTAAAAAGGGGATATGCTCTCCCTTCTGTGTATCATAAGAACAACTTAAGTTGAGAAAGCATTAATGCTTAAGAGTATTGGATTTCAAGCATGTCTTTTGAGTACCACAGTGACCATGAATTCTATTTATTCCACATCGATTCCCATCCTGCTTTTGAACCAACCCCCTTTTAATATACGGCATGTCAGTTGATTATTAAATCTTTATTACCTTTGCTTCATTATCTCATGTAGTCTCCCATGTTGGACACACTGTTTCTCCAATTCATCATTTCTTCTCTGTAACTTTTCCAGTTTGTCATACGTATACCTTTTCTCTTGATTGAGCTGAGCTATTTCAGATCTAGAGAGGTGAACACACAGAAATGACAAGGTGTTAAAGGTTCTTACCACCAGAGCATGTTTTTACTGTATAACCTTAGCATCACCTTCAACTCCATACTTAAACATAACAATGTGAAGACAAGTTATTTTATATAAAACAGAATATCTCAGAAATTGCAAACTGTCTAGTGGAGACATACAATGCATTCAGGGACTCAAGTGGTGGGTAGAGAAAGGAATAAAAACTTGCTCCGAAAGACATGGCGTCTTCAAGGAGCGACGCAAGAGTGATCATGACTCGTATTCAGACCCAATATTTGTCGAGTGCCTATCACAGGCCAGCTACCATGCTGTTAAAGGAGCAACCCCAGATCCCATCTCTATGACGGGGAGTTGTTTCTTTTAATTAACATAGCTAATGCAATGGCACATGATTTAAGTCCTATAGTTCCAAAAGGCATAATAATGAAAAATGGCACTCCTCTATCCCCGACCCCATCTCCAGCTTCTCAGTGTAACTACTAGTATTTCAGTGTGTGGTTAAATCAAGATCTCTATTTACATTCTGTGGCTACCTGAATATTGGTCATTGCTGGCTAAGTAGTTTATTACGTCAGTAGGCTTTAGGGTAGGGTGACAGAACGTGAAGCCATCTTATCCAGTGGGAGATTTTTAATATCAGTGTCTATAATTCTTTCCTCTGTGGCCATTCGGCTTCTCAACAGAAGAATCCTCCTGTTCCCTGCTTATTGTGTATAACAGTAACCAGCAGTGTTCTAGGGGCTGGTTGGAAGTAGAGAGGTAGGGATCTCACCTTTCAGAATGCAGACTTTCTATTAATTTCTCTCATCTCCCCTTCAGTGCCCCTCTTTTAACCAGAGCCTGCTGGTTTAAGCTCTTCAGAGAGGAAGGCCCTAATTTCCTGGGTGGAGAAGGACAGTCACTGGCTGCATGGGGTGGGGGTGCAACTGTCAATTTTGCTTTCAGTCCTAAGTTCCACTTCTGCCTTCCAAGTTTTTCTGGAATCCTGAGAGCAGATCAGCTTGCTTCGCAAAGAAGTGCCCCTCTGTAGACACTGAAGCCTCACCTTCCTCCACTTTGCTACAACAGGTACCATTTCCCTGTCTTCTTTCTGTCTTCACATATTTCATTTTTGGGATCACAGATATGTACTCTGGTGATGATTAATGTCCCTCAGGAAACACGCTTGCTGCCTCTTCTGTATCGTGGAGGATTAGCTCAAGTCTCAAAATCTGAAGATCAGAAAGATATCTCTCCGAGAAAAACTGTATCCCTGTCCTTGATTTAGATAAACCTTGCTCCTGTGGTCACCACCTCCTCATGTTCCACTGCCCCACAGACTGGAACTGAAAGTTTAAAATTCTTGCAATTAAAATACGAGCAGTTAACGACTGGTTTGTTTCTTGAAGTTCAAGTAAGACACTTGATGCAGAACCACGTCCCTCCAAAGAAAGGATTCCTCCTCCATTAGGTGAGAGAGTCTTTTCTTCGCGGTCAAGAGAAGAGGTGGGTTTGCTCCGCATCATTGGAAGGACCAAGCGGTGTCACTGTACCAAGCAATTTGTCACTCTGTGTTCACCTCATTCCCCATTTTGTTTTCGTCTTGATTCAAGCGTCACCTCAAAGGAAGCTTGCCCTGATTAATACTTTGCAGTTCTCAACGTGTCAGCACATTTTTTTGAAACTACCTCTGGCTTTTACTCATACATTAGCTTATCATTTATTCCTCTGAATTGTGCCCTATGCCTCATCTTTCTTACTAGATTATACATGAGGGCCGGGATTATCTCATTTACGAGGTTAGATCAAGTACTCGATCTACATTTGCTTCTTCTAATAAGAATTCACCTATATTTGAAATAGTCTAAATCAGTCAATAATGGTTTAGGTTTCTCCTTTCAAAATCACATACAATACACGAGAATGTAATGCAGTTATAAGACATTGTTAGTGTTCTTGCAAGATAGTGTCTCCTATCACAACAAGGGCTATGAGCTGAAATTAATCCCCAAAAGACAAAAAAATATCCTTAAACCTGATTAGGAAAACATGCAGAAGAATGTCTGTTCTCAGGTACTTCCCCAGAAAAAAGTCCCTTTTTAAAAGAATAATCATAAAGGAAACATAGACTTTACATTATAAAAATATAAAACCTTTACACACAAAAAATCATAATGTTCATAGTAGCATCCTTTCTAGCAGCAGTCTTGCTCTGCAACCCAGTATCTGCAAACTTAACCCAGAAATATGTCAACAGAAGACTGGTTACGTTACTTATGCAAAGGAATATCAAGAGGCTATTTTGACAGTGTGGCTGTTAGTGTTATTCATTGACCTAAAAATATGATATACTGGTAAGAAAGGAAAATAAGTAAAAATCAGCATATAATCAAAAATATTTTTTTAATTAAAAATTTTTTTAATGTTTTATTTTATATTTGAGAGAGTGAGCATGAGTGGTGGAGGGGCAGAGAGTGAGGGACACACAGAATCCGAAGCAGGCTCCAGGCTCTGAGCTGTCAGCACGGAGCCCGATGCGGGGCTTGAACTCATGAACCGCGAGATCATGACCTGAGCCAAAGTCGGACACTCAACTGACTGAGCCACCCAGGATCCCCTAATCAAAAATATTTTGATGTGTATATCATATATTAGTATTGACTATCTCTAGGTGTCAGAATTAGGAATTTTTTTAAATTTATTTTCCTTTCCCGTATGTTTTGAATTTTTGCAATGGATACCTATTTAAGACAAAAAATAAAGTCATGTTAGCTGAACCTACTGTGGTAATCATTTCACAATACATGTAAATCAAAGCATCATGCTGTACGTCTTAAACTTATACTGATGCACATCAAATATACCTCAATAAACCTGGAAAAAAAATTTTGAAAGTCACGCTGATTTTGAAAAAAATTCATGAAAAACAAAAGGAACCGGGAACAAAATTTGCAAAATTAAAAAAAGAAATGGGAACACATAAGAAACCTAATCTAAACGATTAGAGGCATCATTTAATAAAGTGCTGTCCCACTCTCCATCAAAATTCCAATTAAAAACAAATACAGAGAGGGCACCTCGGTGACTCAGTCGGTTAAGCGACCGACTTTGGCTCAGGTCATGATCTCATGGTTCGTGAGTTCGAGCCTAGCCTTGGGCTCTGTGCTGAGAGCTCGGAGCCTGGAGCCTGCTTCAGATTCTGTGTCTCCCTCTCTCTCTGCCCCTCCTCTGCTCACATTCTGTCTGTCTCTCTCCCTCTGAAAAAGAAATAAACATTAAAAAAAAACAAATATGGAGAATAGAAAACAAATGTTCACAGAGGATGAAACAGAAATGGCCAATAAACATTTATAAAATATACAATTTCCACTAGTACTCAAAGAAACGCATAATAAAATCGGATTCTGGTTGAGTATTTATTGCACGCCGACTCTCCACCAGGTAGTGGAATCCATCCTTCATATTAATGGTGGCAATTAATTCCTCAGGGCAAGTGTTTCTTTCCTTTTCTCTGTGAGGTAAATAGGAGGTTTAATGCCTGAGGAATGGTGATTAGCCCCGCCCAGATACAAACACTGGCCTATCCAGCTCTAAAGGGGCTGTCTGGCCCACCATGCAATATTGCCTCTCACTTTTCCTTTCTTAAATCTCTCACTTTTTCTTGTCACATACTGAGATGGGTACATATGTACTGAGAAGAATTTAGCGTAGTACTTGAGCAAAGTCGTACACATTAATAGCCTTCAAAGGCTTCCTGTGATTGAAACAGAAACAAAAAAAAAGGTTTATTGTTTTTGGACGAATGATCCCCTTTTAGGGTATCTCAACTAAGGGGGATCATCAAAAATTCAGAATTATTCATTACAGTTAAAAACCGGAAACATCTTAAATGTCTAATGAATTATGCATACAAATGGCTACATTACAACTGTTTCCAGAGTAGTGATGTAGACACGCATGTTCATTGGATAATATATGCAGTGTAACTCACTCACCAGGTAAATGTACACGTACAGACACATTTACATCCACACGCAAATTCACTGAAAGGAAGTATGCCACAGGTTAACAATAGTTAGCTGGATGGTGATGTCACAGGATATTTTTTTCTTTTTTTTTTTTAATTAAAAAAAATTAAAAAAACATTTTTTTTAATGTTTTTTTTATTTCTGAGACAGAGAGAGACAGAGCATGAGTGGGGGAGGGGCAGGGAGTGAGGGAGACACAGAATCAGAAGCAGGCTCCAGCTGTCAGCACAGAGCCCGATGTGGGGCTCGAACTCATGAGCTGTGAGATTATGACTTGAGCCGAAGTTGGATGCTTAACTGACTGAGCCACCTTGTAGTTATAGCCAAATGCTCTATGAGGTTGTCTTACATGACCACAAAAATATAAATGTTATCTTGTAAAAGTATATACTATTACCAGGTATTTTATCGCTAGAATATTTTTTTCTGCTCTACATATTTTTGGGGTTTTTTTTTCCCCTTTGCTGAAAATGCTGATCTGACTTCCAAGTTCCAGTGTTCGATAAAAACTTTGTAAGTGTACACAGACATCATCTCTTGTCTATCTGGGGCCCATGATACACTGAAAGAAATAGATTGCAAAGTTCGGAGAGTAAACTTCCGGCACAAGTTTCTGTGTTAGTCTGAGATTACATTTGTGGCACGGTTATCCAGTGTCATATAAAAGAACAGATGACTCTAACGCATTTTCACCGAAAATTTAGGTAATTTCTGGCTTCATAGAAGCATGAACTTTCCCCTGCATTTTTATACACCAGTTATATTGTGTAATTGCATTTGCATGAAGTATGATATTTTACTACTATAATTAGGATTACAGCAATAACTGTTTTTTAAGGGAAGACACGACCCCGTCATTTTTTATTCTTTTAGATTCTCACTCGGCTTTTGGTGACAATTAGCAGAGGTCAGTATCAGTCGTTCCTTGTAGAATATAATTTTTGTAGCATCCCAACCTAACATCCAAACA